GGTGGTCCATAGTATGTTCAATACTCTTCTCCAACACAACTCAAACGCATCAGTTCTTCTATCATCTTTAGTCACTGTCCAGCTCTAATCCATAGCAAGTAATTGCAATGACCATAACCTGAATCAGGTGCACCTTAATCTCTACACTGACATCATTGCTTCTCAGTACTCTGGAGAGGTCCCAGAGAGCAGATTTTCCCAATGCAACTCCTCTTTTGATTTCCTGACTGCTGGTGCCAAGGGTGCTGTCTGGAGTGTCCAGGGTCTGATCACGTTGTTGTTGTTATGCGCCGTTGAGTCGCTTGCGACTCATAGCGACCCTATGTACAACAGCCCTAAACTCTGCTCTGTCCTGTGTCAATCGCACTCTAAGGAATCTCAATTGCTATATGTGTCCAACAGAACTAGGTCTAACTTTCAGCATCAGCCCTTATCAGCTGTGTGACCCCTTCTGAGTGACTAGCCTTCCCACATAAAGTGGAGATAATCAATAGTATCTACATGAAAGAATTGTGGCTAGATTTTAATGGGATAGGCATGTAAATATGTGGCAGAGTGGTTCTGTAAGTATTTATGTAAAAAAGATTGTACACTTGATCCTGAAGTAATTGATGTTTTAAGCAAAGGACTAACCATTTGGGGAAAAAAAATTATGAAGACAAAGAATCCATTCATTGCTATATTAGTTTACTGAATAATTTTTAATACTACGAATTATGAGGCAGCTTTGGAATTGAGCACTAAAATTACAAAGTCTAATAAAACATACTTCGTATCACATACTTTGAACACATCATCAGGAGAGACCAGTCTCTGGGGAAGAACATGCTGCTTGGTAAAGTAAATGGTTAATAAGTCCATCAACAAGATGCACTAACACAGCGGCTGTGAACATGGGCTCGAATGTAGCAATGGCTGTGCAGACAGCATGAGGCAGTGTTTTATCTTGTTGTACGCAGGGTCACTATGAGTTGGAACCAGCTCGATGGCAACAATAAAAACAGAAATTGCAGCAGGCTGGTAAGGGTGACAGTCATATATAAGACAGCTGGTACAGGCCACATGAGAGGTCCCAACATGGGGTCAGGCAGCACAGTGGGGAGGGTGGGGAAGGGAGACACCACAGGGACCTTCCCCAAGGACGACTCTGGGTAGTAAAGAATGAGGAGGCACCTGTGAGGTAGATGACAGAAAAAGACAATGTGGAGATGGAAAGAAGAAAGGCTTCCGGCACGGAGGAGACAGAAGTCACAGACCTGGAAGGGAGGGAGAAGGGGGTCCCACTCAGGTAACTTGGGCCAGTCACTGAGAACACAAAATGAAGATTATCACATTGGAAGAAATGCAAAGCATAGCCTGGAGAGGAGAATCTGAGGTCTCTGCAGAACACCAAGGCGGACACAGCTTTCAGTAGACACATGCCTATGGGAGCCCAGGGCCTGGCAAGGGGATGGGTGAGAGACAGACGTTGGTCAGAGTCAGTGACAGAGATGAGTCACATGATGAGCAAAGACACCCAGCGATCTGAACCTGAGGTCTATTAAGCAGGACCACACAGAGCGGCACAAGGCTGGGTACCGGGCTGCAGTGGCAAGCACTACTAAAAGGGCTGCAGCCTCAGTCCAGGATGTGAATCGGACCAAAGAGCACTGCTCCTTGACAAGTTATGGAGAGGTCTTTAAGAGAGGAAAGGTGTCTAACACATCTCTTAGAAGATCACCTATGAGGATGGAGTAAAGCACAAGCAGAGAGGAGGGTTGCTGAGTTCTGGTGGGAGGCGCTACAGAAGGTACTCAGGTGAGAGACACAGCAGCCAGAGTGGACTGGATGAAGGCTAGTGAGTGGACATGGGTATGCCCCAAAGGGGATGTCTGTGAACTTTGCTGGAGGACTGGATGTGGTCAGAGAGGGGAAGGAGTAAGTCAAGACAGGTCCTAGGCATCAAGTTTAAGAAATGAGGTTGCTGTTGTTGTTGGGTCCTGTCGAGTCAAGCTTGACTCATAGCGACCCAATGAGAAATGGGGTCGGTATCTGTAGACCTGGGGAGACTGCAGGTTTCAGAGAAAAACCAGAGTTCCTTTCTGACCATCTACGTTTGAAGTGCTCATGAGACATTCAAATGGTTAGTGTGGCACCACCAGCATCAGCAGGTGTCCTCTGTCACTAACTCTCATAAGGGCCAGCTCGGCGTCACCAGAGCCTCCGGGCGTCACTCCACACCTTCCAGGGTAGATGTGGACCCGGTGAAAAGTCAAATTTCCCTCCTCTCCTCCGACCTCAGCAGCCTTGTGAGTCATTTAAAGCCATGATGTCCAATATGGTGGACACCAAATGAGCTATTAAGCACCTGAAATGAGGCCAGTTTCAATCAAAACATGTTCTGATGTGTTTTGCAGGTTTAGCATAAACCAAGAATGTAAAATATGTCATTAAGACTTTTGATAGTGATTCCATGTTAAAATTGTACTTGGATATATTGGGTCAAATAAAAATATTCAAAATAATTCTATTTTTTCCCCCTTTTGTTAATGTTGTTGTTGTTGTTGTTGTTATTATGTGCCATCGAGTCACTTGCGACTCACAGCGACCCTATGTACAAGAGCCCTAAACGCCATTCTATTCTGTGCTAACCTCGCCATCTCAAACATACTCATTCCCACTACCCCAGTCACAGAATCAATCCATCTCATCAAAGGTCTTCCCTCCTGCGCTGTCCCTCTGCTCTCCCAAACATGATGTCCCTCTCCAAGGACCAGTCCCTCCTTGCAACATGCCCAAAGTATGTCAGACAAAGCTTCAGAATCCTTGACTCCAGGGAACATTCCGGCTTCACCCTCTCCAGGACAAATCTGTTTGTTCTCCTAGCAGTCCATGGTATATTCAACACTCTTCTCCAGAGCCACAACTCAAAGGCATCAATTCTCTTTCTATCATCCCTAGTCACTGTCCAACTCTCTGATGCATAGCACGTAATTGCAAAGACTATAGCCTGGTTGAGGCACACCTTAGTCTCCAGACTGATGTCGCTGCTCTTCAGTACTCTTGAGAGGTCCCTCACAGCTGACTTTCCCAATGCAATTCGTCTCCTGATTTCCTGGTTGCTGTTACCAAGAGTTGACTGTGGAGCCAAGTAAACGAAAACTGTTAGCTATCTCAATCTTTTCACCATCCATACTGATGCTGCCAATTGGCCCAGTGGTGAGAATCTTTGTTTACTTGATGCTGACCTTCAATCCATATTGAAGACTGCAGTCCTTGACCTTCTGCAGCAAGCGCTTAAGGTACTCCTCAGTTTCAGCAAGGTTGTGTCATCCACATAACGCAGGTTGTTGACGATTCTTCCATCAATCCTGATGCCACATTCTTCTTCCTACAGCCCAGCGTCTCGGATGATCTGTTCTGCATACAGATTGAAAAGGTATGGAGACAAAATACATCCCTGATGGACCCCCCCTTCTTTATTTTGAACCATGTAGTATCTCCTTGCTCTGTTCTGACAACTGCTTCTTGATCCAAGTATAGGTTTTGCATTGGTTTTCACAATCAAATGTTCTGAGATTCCCATTCTTCTCAGAGTCAGTCACAGCTTGTTGTGATCCACACAGTCAAAAGCCTTTGCGTAGTCAGGTACAGATAGACATTCTTCTGGTATTCTCTGCTTTCTGCTAAGATCCACCTAATATTAGCTATAATATCCCTAGTACCACGACCTCTTCTAAATCCGTTGTTTGTTTGTTAATATGGTTACTAAAAATGTAAAGTTACACATGTAGCCCGCTTATATTACTATTGAAAGATGTCCTAGATCTCTCCCTACATATATGTGGGAGAACAAAGATCACATGTCTGCAAATGCACAGGTGTCAGGTCATTCCTTCCACACAGAGCAGCTTCTTCCTTTTTCAAGGGTCTTCACTTTCTAAGGTTGTTAGAACAGAAACCCCTCCAACTGGTGACTTTAAAGAAAACGAATTTGTTTTTCATAGTCAGAAGGCCAGAGTTCTAAATGCAGGGCATGGATCTAGACAAAGGTGTTCTCTCAGCTCTTTCAGCCTCTGGGGCCCCAGAATCTCTCAGGTCCCCAGTGATCCTCATGCAACACCCACACCCGCATTTGGTGCACACTTCTGCATCTAATCTGCTCTTTTGCAACTCAAAAGTGATTAGATTCAGGACACACCCTACACTGATAAAGTTCATTAATCTATAACAACAGAAAAAACACAAACCTGTTTCCAAATAAGATTACACCCTGAAATACAGAGAGGAGGGCAGAGTCTCTGAATGGCACACATGGTTAAGCCCTCAACTACAGGTGACTTATGACTCTAACAGTCCCTACAAACATCTTTTAATTGTTAGTAACATATACAATGCTGCAGCAGGTGCTCAAAGACCAACTTTATAGACAATGATAATAAAAGTCAATAATAATGAAAATTTTAAAAGGTAATTCAAGTGACATCAGAACTACCTCACAACAAAGTCATCTGACTAGGCCAAAAGACGTGTAGGACCATCTGCACTGCTGAAAGACTGCTGTTCATTTTCCATAGAAGGAAGTCTGGTGACTTTCCGATTACTAACTGCCTTGAACACTTTACAGAGAACAGAGCTATTCTGCCACCCTTGGTGCCAAAAAGTCAGAATCAACTAGTTTTTTTTTGTCTGTTCACCGTGGTTGGTGGGTGCTGCAGAGCTGACTCCCATGCACAGTGACCGTATGTACCACGGAATGCCGTGCAGCCTGGGACTCTGCTGCCCCCACAGTCCCTGCTGTGTTTGCACTCACTGGGGCAGCCACTGTTTGACAACCCACCTCGCTGAGATTCTGCAGCATTTTTGCTGACTCTCTTATCTCTAGTGGCATAGGAGGTAATGTGTTGGCTTGCTAACCAAAAGGTCGGTGGTTCAAGTCCACCAGTGACTCCATGGGAGAAAGATGGGCAGTGTCCCCTCCCCTAAAGATTTACAGCTCCAAAATCAAGAGGAAGGGCGATATGAGTCAGGGCGGACTTGACAGCAGGTGGGTGAGACTGGTCTATCTACCATATCAAGGGGCATCTGATTCATGCCATAGTCTTTGATTACTTCCTATGCATCTGAGAGCTGGACAACAAATAAGGATGACAGAAAAAGAATTGATGCCTTTGAGCTATGGTTGGAGAAGAGCACTGAACATCCCATGGCGGCCAAGAGAACAAACAGATATGTCTTGGAGAGGGGCAGCAGGAGTGCTCTTTGGAGGCAGGTCTTTTGGAGGCCTCACGTACTTTGGACATGTTGCTAGGAGGGGCTTCGTTGGAGGACATGATGCTGGGAAGGGTGGAGGGTTGGTGAAGGAGAGGAAGACTCTCAACCAGGTGGATTGATACTGTGACTACTGCCATGGGCTCTTGTGTGTCAAGAAGTGTGGGGATAGCACAGGATGGAGGAAGTTCGGATCTTTTGTTCATGAGGTCACTATGAGTCAACTATGACTCACACATATGAGTCGCTATGTACTCAACTTGTTGGCATCTAACAACAACAACTAACAACATTAGCAAACATGATGTCCTTCTCCAGGGACTGGTCCCTCCTGATTGCTGTGTACCATCGAGTCAGAAATCACCCACGGCTGACCCTCCAGCAGGTTTTCAGAGGCAGGAAATCACACAGGAGGAAATGCCCACCTTTCTCCCACAGAGGCACTGGTAGACTTGAAATGTACACCTTTGGGACTGCAGCACAATTCCAGTCCCTCCTGGTAACTTATTCAAAGTATGTGAGTGACAGTCTCACTGTCCTTACTTCTAAGGAGCATTCTGGCAGTACTTTTTCCAAGACAGATCTGTTCATTCATCTGCAAGTCCAATATTCTTCACCAAAACATCATTCAAATGCCTAAACTCTTCCTCACCCGTAGGCCGCTGTTGTGTACCATCAAGGCAAGAGTTGGAACTGACCCATAACTGATCCTCTGGCAGGTTTTCAGAGGAAGTATATCACATGGGAGCTGACTGCCCATCTTTCTCCCACAGAGCAGCTGGTGGATTCAAACCATGTACCTTTGCGTTGGCAGCACAATTCCTTGCCACTAAACCACCAGAGCTCCCAAGGAAAATGTAACAACTAGGGTCAGTTGTGTATTAGTCCTCAAAGCGACATCTTTGCTTTTCAACACTTCTAGTCTTCTGCAGCAAATGTGCCCACAAGAATATGCTATTATTTTAACTGCTGCTTCCATGGGCACTGACTGTGGATCTAAGCAAAATGGAAATACTTGACAGCTTAGACCTTTTCTGTTTACCATAATTCCACTTGCGAGGATTTTTGGTGTCTTGATGGTAAGGTATAATCAATCCACTGAAGTCTTTATCTTCATCAGTAAGTGCAAGCAGGGATCTACTGCCTGCATATAGCCGGTTGTGAGTGGGTCTTCCTCCAATCTTGATGGTCTTTTTCACATATACAGACCAGTTTCCTTGATTATCACTAAGCATACAGACTGATTTAAGTATGGTAAAAGGATTCAGCCCTAATCACTCCTATCCTGACGTTACACCATGCAGCATCCCCTTGTTCCATTCCAATAACTGCCTCGTGGTCATTCTACAGGTTCCACATGGTTTACAGGAATTTCAACACATATGCTGAGGAAACACAATTCAGCCTATAATAGCATGATACATTAGAGCCATTCTTCCCAGAGATTATATATAAACCTACCTCATTTTTGTCACTGTTGTTGTTATGTGCCATCAAGTTGCCTGCAATTCAGAATGACCATATGTACAATAGCTCTGAAGCCTGCCCTGTTATGAGCCTGTCTCACTGACTGCAATACAGCTTTCCCCGTTGCCCTAGTCACTGTATCAATCCATCTCATGCAGGGTCTTCCACTCCTGTGCTGTCCCTCCACCTTTCTGTGCATGATGTCCTTCTCAAAGGATCGGTCCCTCCTGGCCAGGTGCCCAAAGTACTTGAGAAAGAGCTTTGGTACCATTGCTTTTAGTCACTCTGTCAGTCCACCTGGCTGAGGGTCTTTCTCTCCTTGGTGGTTCATTCACCTTTCCAAGTATGATATCCCTCTCCAAGGAATAACCTCGCATGCCCAAAGAATGTGAGAAGCAGCTTTATCACCTTTGCCTCCAATGAGCTCTCTGGCTGAGTTGTCTCTTTGGTCCATGGTACCAAAAGAACACAGAGATACGCCCTGGAGACAACTCAGCCAGAGAGCTCATTGGAGGCAAAGGTGATAAAGCTGCTTCTCACATTCTTTGGGCATGTGAGGTTATTCCTTGGAGAGGGATATCATACTTGGAAAGGTGAATGACCCACCAAGGAGAGAAAGACCCTCAGCCAGGTGGACTGACAGAGTGACTAAAAGCAATGGGCTTGAGGATATCAGAGACTGTGAGGACGGCACAAGACAGGACAGGGTTCAGATCTCATAGGGCTGCTATGAGTGACAGCTCAGATGGCATCTAACACCACTACCACCTAATCATGTACTCTGCTGTTTTCTCTTCATAGACCTCGTTCCAACCACTGCCTTCTGTGCCTTGCTAACATTTAATTATTCAGATCCTAGCTTAGAAGTCACCTCCTCTAAGAAGTTTTCCTGACTTCCTCCTCATTTACCAAGGTTCTGATTTCCTCTTACAATATCTTGTGTTTACACTAGTCACAACATTCACTGAGCTGTGTTTTAGTCACCTGTTGGCCATCTGAAATCTGACTGCCTCTCCCTCTCAAAACACACAATCAGAGTTTCATGACTTTACTTCCTGAAGGCAAAGTATGTATCCCATTTCTCTAAACACAGAGCCTGATATTGAGTTTGCACCAAGTACATGTTAATGCACAAATTAACAGAGACTGGCAAACATCATAGTATATAATATCCATGCTGAAGTTTATCTCCTTTCAACAGATTTCCAGAAGCAGAAGTTACAGGATCAAAAGCAATGAATATTAAAAGCTTTCAAATGCTATTAACTAAAATCACTTTCCAAAAAGGCTCTAGTGATTTATACTCCCAGTAGCAAGCATTTGAGTACCTGACTACTGCATTCTTACAGCGTGGTCATTTCCATTTATGGGGGACAGGGGTAAAGTGCTCATTTTATAGGCAAAACATACCACCTTGCTCTAATTTGCATGTCTTTGATTACTAGTGAGGGCAAATGCTTTTCCATATGTCTGTCTATATACAGATGGCTTTGGGATGGCCATGCTATGTTAAAATTGTTACGGCTGACTCGCTTTTAATCAGATGACTCTGGTGGCCAAGCAGGGGGTGACTTGCAGGGAAGGCTGGAGCTGCTGCAATGGTCCTGATGAAAGATAAGCCATGAGCACAGCAGGGCAGCAAGGGGTGAGACCAAGGAGGCCAATTCAACACATCCCTGAAATGGCAGGAGGTGGAGGCAGGTGTGATTAGGGTGCAGTCAGGCTTCTGACCAATCAAACAGATGGAGGTGTCTGTGCCGAGGTGGTGCGTACACTCATACACGTGAACAAACAATCACAAGACTATTCTCAGAGCCATTTACTAGATGTACTTGCAAGAAACAGCTCAACAGAGTGGAGGTAGGCATAGGGCTCCAGGAAAAGCAAGGCAAAGTGGGTCCAATGCAGGCTGGCTGCTTGAAGCAGACCAGAGAGAGCAGCTCTTGGATTTGTAAGCAGGGAATGAGGCCCAGGGAATGATGAAAATCTGTTTAAAAGAATGGTGATTATCGCCATCAACAGCGACAATGACTAACATGCACAGTGCTATCCATGTGGCCTTATTCCAAGGACTTAGCATGTCTTAATTGTATGTCCACAACAATGCTTCAAGGACAATGTCTTAGTTAGCCAGTGCTGCTAGAAGAGAGATTCCACAAGAGGGGAGCTTTAACAAATAAAAAATGATTTTTCCAAGGTTTAAAAGGCTGTAAGTCCAAACTCAAGACTGCCGGCTCGAGAGGAGGATCATTTTGCTCGCTCTGGGGAAAGGTCTTTGCTTCTTCTCCACTTCCTTGGTGCTTCAAGCAGCATTTATATTCCTCCATCTCTGCTGGCTCCTCTGTCCTCATCTGCTCTTTTCAAATCTCCATGAAGATTGGCTTACATCTTTGTTGTTGTTATGTGCCATCAAGTCGCCTGCAAGTGATAGCGGCCCTATGTACAGCAGCTCTGAAGCCTGCCCTGTCCTGAGCCAGGCTCACTGACTCTGACACATCTACCCCCATTGCCTTATGCCTTGAAGTTGTGCTGGAGAAGAGTCTTAAACATTCCATGGATCGCCAAGAACACAAGTAAATCTGTCTTGGAGAGGGGGAAGCCAAGTTTCTCCTTGGAGGTTAGGATTCTGAAGCTCTGTCTCACATACTTTTGGCATGTGGCCAGGATAGACTGATCCTTAGAGAAGGATATCATGCTCGGAAGGGTGGAAGGACAGTGCAGGAGAGGAAGACCTGGATGAGATGGATTGGTAAGAGTACCTGGGCTTATACCCTTGCTACTAACATAACAACAACAACAACCAAAAGAACCCCTCATTGCAATCCCAGAGGTGTGTGGTTCGAATCCACCAGGTGCTCTGCCGGAGAAGGAGGAACCAATCAGATCCAATTTGACAGTACACACACATACACACTTCCAAAAAAAGAAAAAGAACCCCTCATTCCCAAAGGAAATTATAACCACAAGATTGGGATTTTATAGCACATAATTAGGTGAACACAATTCAATCTGTAACAGAAGGTATTCTTATTCTCCCCATTTCACATACAAGGGGGTTCATAACCTCGCCCAAGTCAGAAAATAGAGATACTGGGCTCCAAATCCAGGGATCTGGCTCTGGGATCCATGTTTTTCATCATTAAGGTTCTCTGCACTCTAAGGATGTAAGAGCAAGGGATAAGGAAGAGCAGAATGAATTTCCAGGAGGAGCTTAATCCCAACATTCTGGATCCTACCTGGAAAACCACCAGCCATGGACAAATTCCAAAGTCCATGTCCTCTAAGATGGGCCACTGAGCTCTTCTGGAGGATTTCACCTGGCCTGGTGACTGGAACCATCAGAGACATGTGGGCTCTGGCCACAATCAGCCCTCAACGCAGCCCAGCCACTCAGCTCTAAGTCTCAGACAGCTCTCAACTCCCAGCCACCAAGTCAGTAAATCCCCGCATCCTCTCCAGACCAAGGTCATCTCATCCTCTCCTTAGACTAAGCATCTCAACTCCCCATGTTACTGCTCTAAGTTCATGCTATGTCATTCCAAGTAGAGCTGCAAGGAAAACTAAGGATTAGCAATTAAAATATTTATGAGAAAGGGTCCAGTTAGGTAAATTATCTGATTAGCTCCAACCATTTACATATTAGCCTACTGCTGCTGAGTCAATTCCAACCCCAACAGGGTTTCTGAGGCTCTAATTCTTTATGGGAGGAGATTGCCGCATGGCAGCCAGTGGACTGAAACTTCCAACCCTTTTGTTAACAGCCAGATACTTTACACACTACACCACTAGAGTTCCTGAGTTGTGTAAGTCATATATTAGGTAGTTAGAAAAAGAAGTTAGAAAGCTTTTAAAGCCATTTAAGCGGTTGATGTCATTGTTAGGTATCATCAAGTCAGAACTGACTCATAGCTGACTCTCCAGCAGATTTTCAGAGCCAGTAAATTGCATGGGAGGAGACTGCCCATCTTCCTGCAGGGCAGCTGGTGGAACCATGGTCCTTTGGGTTTGCAGCCCAACTTCTAAGCACATCAGAGCTCACTGCTGAGATAGAATAACTTTGAAGATGTAGTGCTCGGCGATGGCATCCATATGTTGGCTGTACTACCATTTAAGGGAGGAGAGAACGGGGGAGGAACAGAGTGTATATATGCATGTGTACTTGCTGTCACGCATATATAATTTGCCTGTGTCTACATAGATTTTCTCTGAAAGGCTACACAAGAAACTGGTTACACCTCCATGCAAAGGAACTGGAGAGCTGCAAATAGGACAGATTCCTCCCTGCATACTTCTTTTTGCTTCCTTGACTGTCTATGCTGTGTGAATAGAAGATATTGTTATTCAGCAAGGCAAATAACAGGAAATGTTAAAATTAGATAAATAAGAGAATGTGTATGTGTGTGTGTGTTGTGGTGTGTGTGTGGTGGGGTGTGTGTGTGTGTGTGAGAGAGAGAGAGAGAAATATTGAGTTGTTGATCACTCCTTCCCCTAGGACCTGGAAAAGAATCTTCTGGTTGCTGATCCTATTTGCACTTGGCGTCCTAGGCCTGTTTCTGTGTGGGTTTCCTGTAGTCAGGTACAACTTCCCTCCCCATGCATTAGGTGGGACCACCAGGATGGGGATTGAGACCCTAGAGATCTAACTGCTAAGGCATCACAGAGGGATGGAGGAGGTGGACATCTCAGCCCTGCACAGTGGTCTTTGTGAGCTCCCTCTCCTTGTAAGGAGCAGGAAGGGTTCTGAGGCAGACTGGCTCACTGCAGCCCCCACCCCACAGGCATATAGAGATCTTCATCCCCATGGGCATCTGCCCTTCGGCCAAAATGCACCTGATGAGTGACAACTTCACCGGTCTCCTGTATCCCTGGTAAGGAGTCATCACCCCTGTAGCCCCAAAATGCCCACCTACCCTGCACAATGATGCCTCAGTGTCCCTGCGTATCTGATATGCCTCCACCTGGCAGGGCCAACCCTCAGTCTGCCAGCCTCAGCAGCCCCTTCAGGCCACACCTCTCCCTGCCCTGTAGTCCTGTATCAATTCTGTGCAGGGCTGCTCAGGCAGGGACTGGTCTCATTCATCTGTGGGTTCCTGGGAGGTGGCAGTGAGCACGCACCAAGTGGGAAGATGGATAAACTGGACTCCCCACTCCTCGGCCAGGGCCCGCACTGAAGTTCTGACATGCACTTCCTGGGGAGCCCCAATTATTTGGGATGGTACCTTTGACCCAGATGTGGCCCAGCAAAAGACTGGACAGCAGAACCTCACCATTGGGCTAACTGTCTTTGCTGTAGGCAGGTAAGGCCTGGGGAAGAGACTGCTAGCCAGGCGGGGAGTGGGGTGGGAGCATTCATGGGATATAAGAGGCGGGACACTGTTCCCCTCTGCTACAGGATCCCAAGGTGAAGCAGGAAGCAAAGACAGCACATTCTGTCCCGGTCTCCCAGAATGAAGTCAGGACTATTCCCCTAGGGCTTCTTCTAGGGCATAATTATTCCTGATGGACTGGGGGATCCACCTGGGTAAAGTGAAAGGAGACAGAGGAAGAGTGATGAATACTGAGAAAGTGGCAGGGTCAGCAGATCAGAGGACTCAAAGAGGTAGGAATATCCAGGGGAAATTAACGGGGAAGAACGGAGGGTGCTCACAGGACAGGATGGGTGAGGGTAAAATTTTGGAGGTAGAACAACCAAGTAGAAGGAACTGCCATGGAAGCAATTAAGTAAAGAAAGAGAAATGCTTCTGTCTAGGAGTAAGCAAAGAAGTGAGAGACTTTACCTTTCCTAGCTGAATAACTTTTCCTAGGATTGTCCCTCCTCGTAACATGCATAATCTCTATGGGCCAGGAATGGCAACTTGCAGCCATCTTTAACTTGTCAAGCCAAAGCGGAAAGATTTTACAGAGTCTGAGCTAGTAGGATTACAAGGACTGGGTTCATGGCAAACGGGTACAGACACAAATTGAGGGTGGGGGAGAAAAGGTCGCAGGAAGGTGTGTTCAGGCTGACTCTGGTTCACCCTTCCTCTTCCAACACCCCATGGGCAGGTATCTGGAGAAGTACCTGGCACACTTCCTGGAGACCGCAGAGCAGCACTTCATGGTGGGTCACCATGTCGTGTACTACGTGTTTACGGACCTCCCAGCCGCCGTACCGCACGTGGTGCTGGGCCAGGGCCGGAGTCTGCGCGTGGAGCACGTGGCCCGCGAGCGGCGCTGGCAGGACGTGTCCATGGAGCGCATGCGCACGCTCTCGGAGGCGCTGAGCGGCTGGCTGGGCCGTGAGGTGCAGTTCCTCTTCTGCATGGACGTGGACCAGCACTTCAGCGGCGCCTTCGGACCTGAGGCGCTGGCCGATTCGGTGGCCCAGCTGCATGCCTGGCACTACCACTGGCCGCGGTGGCTGCTGCCCTTTGAGCGCAGCGCTCGCTCTGCCGCTGTGCTGGGACCTGGCGAGGGCGACTTCTACTACCACGCAGCCGTGTTCGGGGGCAGCGTGGCGGCGCTGCGCAGGCTGACGGCGCATTGCGCGCAGGCCATCCAGCAGGACCGCGAGCGCGGTGTCGAGGCGAAGTGGCACGACGAGAGCCACCTCAACAAGTTCTTCTGGCTGCATAAACCCGCCAAGGTGCTGTCACCTGAGTTCTGCTGGAGCCCGGAAATAGGCGCGCGTACTGAGATCCACCACCCACGCCTCCTCTGGGCGCCCAAGGAGTACAACGTGGTGCGCACCTAAGGACCCCAACCAGGGCTTGGCCTCAGCGCGACACTGGCGCTCCGCATCTCTGGGACTTAGCCAGTCTGAGACAGGCCTTGCTAACTAGGTCGTTTTTTGACCTCTGGACTATGTGGAGTGGGAGTAACAGGAAAGGGAAACCCACAAGCCAGCAGGAAACCATTCAGAAAGCAGCATGACGTTAGGGATGGGAAGAACAGATTGGATGAAGAGAGTCACACTGGTAAAAAAAGCAGGGAGAGACATGTCTTGGCCTTAGTTGTTCTGTGTTGTAAGGTCGACTTCAACTCATAGCGACCTTATGAAGAACTGCTCCAAACTATGCCCTACTCAGAGCCAATGTCCATCTTTATAACTTGGTCAGAAAGAAGGATCCGCTTCGCCTTCCCTGCCCTTTAGCCTCTACCTCCCTTTCACCTCTCATCTGAAGGGATGTTTTAGCTACAGTTTTTGGATAGAAAGACTTAGACAAAGAGGAATCAGAACTGCCTAAGGACACAGAGACTGTAACTGTGACTCAGTCTGTGTTCTCAGCATGGGGAGCCTGGACTGACAATACAAGCAGAACTGAGCTGCCTCTGGGTATGAGCTGCAGATTGAGAATGGGAAATAACTGGGGTGATGATTTAGCCCCTTTGTTTCCACTGCCTGTGAGTTAAAGAGTTTGTATGAATTTCACTAATAAGGCCCTAAGGTCACCATCAGTCAGAGCTGACACAAAAACAATAAAAATAATTTATTGCAATATTGTCCTAATGATCCTTTCTCCTAGAGGCTTAAAATCCATAAAAATGACGCTCTTTAGCCTCAGGGCTAGTAAAATTGGCCACAAGCTGGGCAGTATAAATTTTCTTCCCTGTGGCTCCTAGATACTTCACTATGTGGAAAAATAGGCTCAGCATGGAAGCTTGAAGGTCCCTAGGAAAGGTGGCTTCTTCCTTTGGATACAGCCAGGAGATAAGGAAAGCAGTCATGGAGAGCACCTAGTGGATTGTCTGATGATTGAGGAAATGGCCCTGTGAGGGTGGGCTTCCGCCCCCAGTCTCCTAGATCCTTCAGGTAGTGTTTGTGTTCTCATCACTCTTGCATGGCAGGTGTGTCCATGATCCAGCCTGGTTGATTGTGAAAACCCATTTTTGCAAGCAGATTCTGTTCGATCTCTGCCCTTTCTGCAGCCATTTAGAGTTCCCTCAGTGACTCAGCCTGAACTAGACTGACGAACCCAGAATGCCTTTAGATTCTGAATTAGAAATGAGGAGACGTGTGTGCTACAGAATGAGCAAGTGGCATATCCTGTCCTCTAGGGAATGGCTACAGATAGAGAATGGGAAATTTCAATCCAGGGGGAAATGGCCTTCAAGTTACTCTTAAATACTCTCACTGAGCAAACCCCATGTGACACTGAATAATTTAGTTTGGTCTGGTAAGATCTAGACATGAATGGGTATCTAACTTTGTAATTGTGGGCAAAGTTCCTTATTTCCACTGGCCTTCATCAGTGTGCCAAAGCAGTCATTTCCTTTTTTAAAAGGAATAAATAGAATGATGAGTTTCCAGGTCCTGAATTAGGGCAGCCTGTTGTTAGGTACTGTTGAGTCAGTGAGTCAGATTTGAATCACAGTTATCCTACAAATAATGGATCTGAACCTTGCCCTATCCTGTGGAATCATCAGCTCTGATATACTTGAGTCCAATGTTGCAATCTCCGTGCCAATCCATTTCATTGAGGCTCTTTCTCTCTTTAGCTGACGTTCTACCTTTCCAAGCATAATGCCTCTTTCCAACGATTGGCCCCTCCTAACAACATGCCTTAAATATGTAATAAAAAAATTTGCCATCCTTGCCTCCAAGGAGCACCCTGGTCGCATTTTATCCACAACAGATTTGTTTGTTATTTTGGCAGTCCACAGGATATTCTGTACTCTTCGCCAATACCACAATTCAAAGGCATTGGTTTTCTGTCCTGCTTGTTCATTGCAGTTGCATAGGAAGCAATTAAAGGTATCATGGCTTGGTTCAGGGACTCCTAGTCTTTAAACTGACATCATTGCTCCTTAACACATTGGAGAGGTCCTAGATAGCAGCCTAGAGCTCAAGATAACCCAGTGGAGCTCAGTTCTATACTCTGTGACTCACTGGATTTCTAGGTCAGAGTTTACTCAGTGCCTGTGGGTTTGTGCTTGTTTCTTTTTATCCAGGGAGTTGAAAGATCTAAGTGAAGAGCTGAGGCTTAAGCAGAAATCTAAGAGGTAATTATTTCTGTAGACTGTCCTTGTTAGATGCCATTGCATTAACAACCCTATGATCAACAGATAGGAACTTTGTTTTGTCCTTTCCCACCCTCATGATCCCATACTCAAGCCCATTGTTGCAGACACTGTGTCAATCCATCTTGTTGAGACTCTTCCTGTCTTTAGCTGACCTACTTTTCTAAGCATGTTGTATTCTTCCAAAGATTCATACCTTCTGCAACATGCCCAAAATATGTGACATGAAGTTTCACTATCCTTGCCTCTAATAATTACCCTGGTTGCAACCTCCTCGAAGATAGATTTGTTCTTTCAACAGCCCATGCGGTATTCAATACTCTTCTAAGGCATCAAATCTTTGGGCTTCCTTATTTATTCAACTGTTTTATGCCATGCATATGGAGAAAAATACGGCTCTGATCAGAAGTATCTGAGTCTTTAAATTGACATCCTGCTTTTTAGCACTTTGAAGACCCCTTGACGGTATATTTTCCCATGTAACATATCTTTTCATTGCTCAAGTCCCACTTCCATGGGCTTTAATTGTGGATTCAAGTAAAATGAAATCCTTGACAACTTTAGTCTTTTCTCCACCTGCCAAGATGTTAACCTATTTGTTCAGTGATAAGGATTTTTATCTTCTTGATGTTGATGTCATCTACATAACACAAGTTGTTGATGAGTCTTCCTCCATACTTGATACCACCTTTCTTCATACAGTCCAGCATCTCTAATTATTTGCTCAACATATACAGATTGAATAGCTAGGCAGAAAAAGGATAAACTCTGAAGCACACCTTTCCTGATTTTAAACCATGCAGTATCCCCTCGGTATGTTCAAATGACTACTTCTTGGTCCATATATAGTTTTCCTATGAGCAAAATTAAGTGTTCTAGAATATCCATTATTTACAATATTGTTGTTGGGTGCCATCAAGTCAGAACTGACTAATATCTGACCTGCCAGTGAGTTTTCAGAGGCTATAAATCTCATAACAGGAGACTGTCCATCTTTCTCCCATACAGCAGCTAGTGGATTCAAAACATATATATGCTTTTGATTGACAGCACAGGTCCTACCACTAAACCACTGGAGCTCTCCTTTCAATATTATCTATAATTTATCATGACCTCCACAGTCAAATGCCTTTGCATGGTCAATAATGACAAGTAAACACCTTTCTGGTATTATCTGTTTTTAGTGCCAAGATCCATCTGACATCTGCAATGATAGCCCTTGTTCCACTAGCCTCTTCAGATTGCAATTTGAATTTCTGGCAGTTCCTGATCAATGTACTTGCTTATCTGCTTTTGGATATTCTTCAAGATTTTACTCATATATGGCAGTGGTCAGAACAGAGCAAGGAAACACTGCATGGTTCAAAACTGGGAAGGGCATATGCCAGGGATGTGTCCTGTCTCCATACCTTTTCAACCTATATGCAGAACAGATTATCCCGGAGGCTGGGCTCTATGAGGAGAAATGTGGGGTCAAGACTGGTGAAAGATCTATCAAATCTGCGTTATGCAGATGACACAATACTGCTTGCTGAAACTGAGGAGGACCTGAAGTGTTTGCTGCAAAGGGTCAAGGACTGCAGCCTTCAATATGGATTGAGGCTCAATGTCAAGAAGACAAAGATTCTCACCACTGGACCAATTGGTAGCATTAGGATGGATGGTGAAGAGATTGAGATTGTTCACAGCCTTAGTCTGCTTGGCTCCACAGTCAACACTCTCGGCATCAGTAACCAGGAAATTAAAAGACGTATTGCCATGGGGAAAGTCTGCTGTTAGGGACCTCTCTAAAGTACTGAAGAGCAACGGTGTCTCTCTGGAGACTGAGGTGCATCTGATACAGGCCATGGTCTTTGCTATCACTTGTTATGCACCAGAGAGTCAGACAATGACTAAGGAGGATAGAAGAATTGATGCCTTTTGAACTGGGGTGCTGGAGAAGAGTATTGAGGGTACCATGGACTGCTAGGACAACAAACAGATTCATCCTGGAGAGGGTTAAATCAGGCAGCTCCTTGGAGGCAAGGATTCTGAGGCTCCGTCTAACATACTTTGGACATGTTGTAAGGAGAGACCGGTCCTTGGAGAGGGACATCGTGCTTGGTAGGATGGAGGGACAGCGCAGGAGGGGAAGGCCCTCTATGAGGTGGATTGATTCAGTGACTGGGGTAATCGGGATGGATGTATCGGAGACAGTGCAATTAGTATAGGACAGAGCAGAGTTTAGGGCTGTTGTACATAGGGTCGCTATGAGTCGCAAGCGACTTGACAGCACATAACAACAACAACAACAACATGATATTAATGACACACTATGGTATTATTATAATTTCTGCCTTCTCCTGGATCACCTTTTTCTTTTTTAATAAGTATAAATATGAATCCTTTCCAGTCAATTGATCTTCCAAATTTATTGGCATAGTGAGAATATCTTGGTCTCTTTTTGTTGAAACACCTAAGTTGGTAGTCCATCAATTCCTGGGGCCTTATTTTTTGCCAATGCCTTCAGTGCAGCTTGAACTTCTTCCTTCAATATAATTTATTATTGACCATCTATACTACTTCCTGAAATGGTTCAATAGCGACCAATTCTTTTTAGTACATTGACTCTTGTGTATTCTCCCCTTTCTTTTGATGCTTCCTGCATCATTATCTTGTCCATAGAATCCTTCAGTATTGCAACCTGAGGCTTGACTTTTTATTCAGTTGTTTCAGCTTGAGAAATGATGAACA